TATCCGCCGGCTACACATTTTCTCTTAATAATGAAATAGTTCTAAACCACAACATATTTCCCCACTCTATTGGTTTATGTCCTTGAATTTCTGATGTTTACAGAGCATAGTGAATTAAACTCATGGTTATATGCAGTCACTGGATGAGAAAAACTTTCAGCTTGACCAGAACTCAAACCTGTGACCCACAGAATAATGTACCGCGGCTGTAAGCGATTGAACTATCTGGCCGCTTACACATTTTCTGGCCTAAATAGTGAACAGTTCTAAACCGTGACAGATATTTAGATTTTTAAATTAACAGATAATTAATTCTTAATTAATAAATAAGAAATAAAAACCTTACACAGTAACTCATAGTCTAAATTAAAATAACAATTTATATATTATGTATAATTATTTTTACTAAAAAGGGCTTAGACAGTAAACTATTGGTTGTGCCATTATTTATAACAGGTCAATTTGAAAGTGAACATAACTGTGCTAATACATGTACAATATCTATTTTTTGTACGGATAAAAAACTAACCTTTTTTCTATGATAAGAAATTTTATGAAGGCTGATTTGTATTTTGCATCAAGGGCACTGGGCGAAAACATGAAAATGCAACAAACACACCACTTTGTGTCTGGCGCCCGGTTACTTTTTTGTACTTTGTTGGTTTTCATGTGGCAAAAATCACCCGCTATAAAATTTAGTGTACAAATTTATTCAAGGGCAAGTAACAATCTACTCTATGAAAAGTCTGTTGTCGGGTTGACTCAGGAGACCTAAGCTTGGAAATTGAGACCGGTGTCCCTCCATTACAAATAGATAAGACAGAAGCTGTCCTTTTCAATCTATGCACATGTTAGAAAAAAATTAGAATAACCATTCAAAATATGATTTTTTGAGACTTTATCAATTATATTGCTTGATCCAAGTTTCAAGACATTTTCAATCAATACATGTATTATCATTTATAACTTTAAATGAAAGTCTCATCCCTTTAATAATAATGACATAACTGTAACTCTTTAAATTCAGAAATATTATAAGTCTCATCATATCAATATACTAAGATATACATGTATGCACATAACATTAATAATTACCAGTTTCTATTAAATAAATATGAAATCCTAACATTAACATTGGTACTAATGGATGGAATTCAAAATCTAGTAGAATATATAAACTCTGTTATAGATACTATTATTAGCCAGCTAACACTGGGTATAAACAACTATAACCTGTAGACTGATCAATACATGTATTATCATTTATAAATTTAAATGCAAGTCTCGTCCATCATAACTGTAAGTCTTTAAATACAGAAATACACATTATATCCATATACTATGATACACTTGTATGCACCTTACATTAATAATTCTCAGGTTCCATTAAAAATAAATATAACATCCTATTAACAGGAATTCATAATCTTGTAGAAAGAAAACTAGTACATGATATTGTATAGTATAAAAGTAAAAAAAAATCTCAAATAGTCTATATCATGTGATACAGATTAAGTTGTGTTAGTGTCTAAACATTAAATGCATATCTCTTACAGTAACAAATACTGTCCCTCTTTTAACCTTCCATTAGACTTTACTATAAATATTCTACCTTTCATTTCTACCAAAGGTTATTTTAGTAACAATTCATATACAAACACATAGAAAATAATAATTTCACATAGTGATTAGAAGATGCCTCTAGCAGAATACCTATAGGTATGTACCAACTGAACAAACTAGAAAAATCTGGTCTAGGGTATATAAAGCCAGTAAAAATATATATCAATATTCACTCATCAGGGCCTCTCTGCTTTTGATGACCTTACAACTGGTAAATTTTATAAAAACAAAAAATAGTAAGTAATACTAAAGATAGAGTAGACAGAAAAGAACAAATAATTTAGTAAACATGAGTTACTTCCCCTTAAAATAGAGAAAACCTGAAACCCAAAAGAACACTCTAAACATTAAAATTACGAAATGTTGCAGGCTCAGTCAGTTTTTTTAAGCCATGCAAATTAATGGTAAAGTATTCATAAAAAAAATAGATGACCATGTGACAGCAGTTATTGCAGAAAATCGGATAGCTTTCAACATCCGGATATTGGTACACTTTGTAAAAACAACCATTCTGTGCAACAGATCAACGTAATATGGATAAAATCAAAAGGATAATCGTTAACAACAGTCCATTACCTATCCTGATACTCATTTGCAGGTGAACTTTCTTCTTGTAAGAAAATTTTGAAAATATATAAATGAATGAACGAATAGCATCAATGTAGACCACAACGATATTCGAAATCCGGGTTTTAGTATTGTCAATAAAACTAAGGGACAAGCTGTTAAACTGAGCCTGCAATTTCGTGAAAATAATATCACAATGCACATGCTTTTTATATAAAGTTATTAAATACAAATATAACAACATATTTGTTTACTTGGTTTTTACGGATCAAAATAAAACTGATTAACTCAACATGAAATTAACTGCTAATAATAACAGCTCCTTCCATAGGCAAAAATAAAAAGCATTCCATATAAGACGACGCCGCTCACCGGCGTCGCCAAATATTTGCCTTCAACATTATCATTATAATTTATGTTTATTGTTCAAATATTGAAAGGTACATATTACAAAAAAACATATATATACATAGCAAATAACCTTTTAAATTCATGTGCGCGACCATTAGCGGTTACCCTAAACAAATATCACGTGATCACCTAACTTGGCCTTTCAAGGTTATTGTGTTATTAAGCAAAATTAAAAAAAAAGGAAATTGAAAAGGGACGTAACCTTGTTTGAGTACAATTACTTCCCTTGCATGAACACTAAATATTGCATATTGCAACTTTTCACGAAATATCATATACATTGTGCAACTGCTTGCAGCCGTCAAAAGTTGATGTTTGTTCGTTTCTGTATCCGTTTTTACATGACTATCTTTGACTGCATTTTGCAGAGGAAAACGACCTTGCAATTTCTTAGGGAGGAATATAGCTCTAGTAACCGATGGATGAACCTTTCACAGAAATATATTTATTTCCTAGAAATGTTCAATAGGTACCGCTTTTGCGTCTTGTTGAAAGCGGCGCATGTTTGTATCTATCGATGATGTCAATTATTTTAAATGAGAATCTAAATTATAACAGACGATGACATTTAACTGGACCATATTGTGTAGTGATACATTTTAATACGAAGATTAGAGCGGAAGTTCATATCTGTATATTCATTATTGTCGTTTAGTCTCAGTATAGTTGTTTTTGTCCTATAAAAATGCTATTTTTACTATAAGAGGCTTTACGTACATGTTTCGGTGCATAGGTATCAAAAGTACTTCTTCTTTTCATGTAGTACATCTATACCTTTTAAGAAAATATAGTACATGAAAATATGTATACGTACGTGGGTAGTTTTTGTTATTTATCCGATATATGTTTTTGATACAGACTATAGTTGCTCGCTGAATGAACTATCGTAAAAATAGCATTCTTTATCGTCAGGAAAGCGAGGTTACATTATAAGATATAACGAGACGAAATATCGGGGGACGTCTCAAAGTGTTTTGTTTCCTTTACGAAATTGTCTCTATGCTGGCTATATAAGCTGTATGTTGGCTATACATTGTATAAGAAATTTATATATCTAGATCGAATCTTTGCATCTCTGTTCATAAAGGTCATGTATCAGACGAACATCCTTTAATCAGAGGAAGCTTTTGATAAATATGTGTCATTGATTTTATGCGTGCTGCTGTACCCACAAACATCTATTTTGTAATTTACATAATTTAGTTTATATAATTACTGTATGTGACAATAATACTTGCGCATTTTCATTCTTACGATGCGTTGCCGTCTGATACATTCACGATTATTTCCCTTTAAAGTGAATTGGTTTGTATAAAATTGCATATGAAAATATGCCTATTGTACACACATATCCAAACGTGCTGCTAGTCGCATTGTTGTTATTCATGCAATATAATATGATTAATATCCATATATTGAAAAATAATAAAAAAATATATAAATTTAAAGAAAAGAAAGGAAGTTATTTTTTCTTTTGTTATACTAGTTTAGAATATTTCATGATATGGATCATATTAAAATACATGAGTAACAATATTAAACATATTTTTGTCAAATCAATGTCACTAGAACTATTCGTACGAGTAGGCCTATGTCATGTGAACTGATGAGTATGAGGGGAAAATACTTAGTTTGAATAGTTTATCACTTTTTGATCATAAAATTATTTTATTATTTTTACGAAATGTAGTATCTCAAATTCATTCCTCATAAAATGTATATATTTAATTCGTTTACGCAATTCAATTCTTATCTAAAGTAAGAATAGAATATTATATGAATAACACATTAGTTTGTGGGTAATGGTAAAATATCATCCCGAGGAAAATACGGTTTCATGAGGGATGCTATTTTTACTGTTACTTAGAAACCCATGCGTTATTTATTTTATCACCCCGAACAAATCATTTGAAAAATTTAACTGAATCTAACTGTAACTTAACTGATTCAAGAGTAACAGTAACTCAACTATCTTTTTTTGTAAGTTGAAAAAAAAACACGTGACCAGATTTTATACTGTTAAAAATACTTAATTTACCAGTAAGAATAACTCACACTGGTTTGTGGGAAATTAACATTACAAAAAAATTAGGGTAATAAAATATTCCTAACATTGTCTTTAAAGGTCTTTAAAATCTGTATTATCCAATTTTCTTTTCAAGACATATTTAATCATTTAGATACATATTGACCATATCAATAGTCTAATTCCGTGTATAGCAGGCTAGTTCCCTTTGTTTCGAAAATGATCTTTGGTCGACAAAGCCTGTTCGAAAAGCACGAAATGAATCAGTATGGACAGGATGGCTAGAGTGGGCAGAGGAGATTTGCGGATGCAAACATTTTCGTTATTTTCTTAAAGCCTGTTAGAGTATTAAAGGGTGAAAATTTACTTTCAGGTCACGATGTATTCAATACTCCAACATACAGGCGTTGTAATTCTTCTATTGATGTAAGCAAAAGGAAAGCGATAGCTGAATCAGAAGGGATGAAAAAGAAGGCACGATACAGTGAAAGCTGCATACCGGATGAGTTGATATCTCTGTCATATGATCTCCTCACCCAAATACAGCGACATGAACAGCAATCCGGAGGTAAAATATTCATACATGTTAATATACAATGTATATCCTTTGGCGTCAAATTCATACTTGAAACAGAGCTTATAATATAGTCGTATACATCGTATTACAAGTAGTTATCCTGTAAGTTGTAGCAGTATAAGTAATGGTAGTTCTAAGTCTAAAACGCACGTGGTCGAGGTCGTTGTTGTAAATAACGACCTATAGTCGTTATATATGGTCGATTTCATGGCCGTTAATGTCTCCCTGCGTCGTCTTGTAGTCGAACTCGTGGCTGAAGACGTAGTACATCGTCGTACCTGTATTCGTAGTAATAATTGGTTGACGTCACATGGTTTTCTTCTTCCCTTACGGCTTCTCTACTTCATCGTCGGATACCCCCTGCCGAACCTTTGATTACATGTTATGTTATGTTATGTTATGTTATGTTATGCTACATATTAATATCAACCGTGGGTAACCGACGTTGCTCTACATGAATTCTGTATTCATAAATTTACAGTAGTGTTGCGCAAGACTATATTTTGGTAGGCTTAACTTGTTCGATTATAAATGTTTCATTTTTGTTTTTTTTTCTCTTCAAAATAGACACTGTGTCATCCCCACAACAGGAAGAATTGCAACGATCAGATAAGGGTCTGGTACAAACAGCTATCGCAGACTCGAGTCTTCCATACGACTTCGATTGCTTTGACAACAATGATATAAACGAGTTGAGTGATGACGTCAGCACAGTATCCAATGAGTCATCAGTCACGTGTCATGACTCGTCTTCCTCAATGCCAGACTATGCTTCGAGCAACTCAAGCATGGCATGTATTAAGGTAATTAGATCTAAGCCTTAAAAGAATAATTTTGTTATATGTGCAGAATATAATGTGGGTTTTTATGGGCAACGGTTTTGTGTACGTGTCACAGGTTTGTTAACAATATTGACGTTACCTTCACTGCATGACAATGACAGCGAATGACACTTTGTGAAATTTGATGCACTCTTAAAGTTATCTTGGTGTCAAGTTTTTGCATGTTTTGTTCTAAATTATGCATACAAAAAGTCCTTGACACAATATTTGTCTGCCCGCTTTACCGTGAACTTTGGGTACAAACTTAAAGGCACACCATGCCTCTGAAACGAAATTTTTAGTTCTTAAGAAGTGCAAACTTATGTTTTATAACATTTAGTTTTAAAGCTTGTTAGCTCTTTTTACATAGAGAAAGTAGCGCTTATTGTTCTTTAAAGAAATAGTATTTGTATTCCCATACAAAATACTAAATCACTACAACATTATTGTACTAATTGCCAGAAAGCAACATAAGTCATCGATGGCAAATGAGTAACTTTTTTGGAAATTGTAACAGGGCACAAAAATAAAATAAAAACTTTTGAGAAATAAAAATAAAATCATTTCTAGGACATAACGGGTCTTTAATATGATTTGAGAGCACGAGTGATTTATCGGAGTAAAACAATTTGAATGCATATTGAGAAATATTTATAAAAGAGCCTTACGATTATAAACTATATCTACAATAAAGGCTAAATAAAGTAAGACATAAATTAAAAAAAAATCGTCAATTGCATAAATAAGCGCTTAACAATATATATTACAATGTATATATATTGGCAAATGAAAACTATCACAAAGCACCGATGTAAAAAGATTTTAAGTAATTAAGAATAAAAGCTTTCCTTTGCATAATCGGCCTTTAATATGTAATAAAGATTGTGGTTATTATGATCAATGAAATTTTGATAAATGAAGATGAAATATTTAATTGTTTATGTGAATTTTTCTTTAAGGCAAGTTCAACAAACAATGGAAAACCTCTGTATACCACTGAACTTCAAGTATTGTGTAGAATCTGCGGAGACCGCGCATCCGGCTATCATTACGGTGTCCATTCATGCGAGGGGTGCAAGGTAAAATACCTGTAATACCTTCCCGGGACTCGTAAATTGTTTGACAAAGAAAATTTAAACAAAGGAAAGGCATTTTCATAAACTTTGGCTGATAAGATTGAGTCATCAATGAAATAAGATAAAGAGAGTGGGGTGGGATGATACCATTTTCCTTTTTGAGTTGTCTGCCCCTGAAAGTTTTTTGCTGTTAAGTGAGATATGAAAAAACTTGAATAACGATTAGAAAAGGTTTTATATAAAGGGCAATAGACCATGAAGGTAGCTTTTAAGAAAAAATATATGATATTTGAAAGGAAGATTTGGTAAAAAAAGTTCGATGGATGTTATCAAAATTAGACGTAGATTAGAGATAGCTTTGAAAAAGTAATATGCGAAAAAAGATTTTAACAAAAAAAGGGTAATCATTAATTAAGATTTGAAGAAAAATATACCGGTGTGTGAAAATGGATCACTTATTCTAGGCCGAGTGATTTAAGGTCGTTGACTTCAAACCACTTATTCATCAACGTTATTGGCCTGAAAACCGACAGCGAACTTTAATTGATTTAAATTTAAAGCAGTTACGAGATGGTTTTATTCAGAGGCTGTACTAGATCAGTAGATTATATCGGTACGGGTGGGCTAATGGGTGGGGTGGGGGGGGGGGGTGTTTGGTTTTACGGCACACCAACATAATTTAGGTCATATGACGCCTAAACCCTCAACCCTTAGAGGTAATCCCTCAGTCACATGGGGGTGTAAATACATACACGTTAGGATAGATAAATTTAAAAACAGATGTAGATTTCATATTTGCTATAATTTATTATCATACTTATTTAGAATTATAATTATCTGGATAGAGCGGTATTTTGATATTGTTGGTTTTTCTACTTCAGGGTTTCTTCAGACGAACATTAAAGAAACAGCTTGTGTATAAGCCATGTAAAGAGGGGTCCCAATGCCGCATTGATACTGGTTCCCGGAACAAATGTCAGTGCTGTCGATACCAGAAATGTATAAACGCAGGAATGTCTCCAAATGGTACATCTACCTTTCCTATATTTCTATAATATATACTCTTTTTTATTCATTTTTTTTTTTTGGTGGGGGGGGGTGGAGGTTATATTTCATTTATTTATTTGTTTGTTTAGATAAATATTTATTTATTTATTTATTTATTTATTTATTTACAATTTAGCAAAACAATGTTAAATATATTTGAAATTAACTTGTCAACTTCCCATTGGAAAAAAAAATATCCCTCGGATTATTCAAAATACCATAGTATGATTCTGTTGGCCTATTGTAGTAAAACAGAATGATTTCATAACATAAGTCGCTCGAGATCCCATTCGAGAAAACACAAATGAGTCTATTGAATAAGTCGAGATCCCATTGCAAAAAAAAATACAAATTAAATACAAAATTTAATGATTCTATTGGATAAGTCGAGATCCCATTGGAAAAAAACCAAATGATCTTATCCAGATCCCATTGAAATTTAAAGGAGAAGCCGAGATGCCATTAGAAAAAAACAAAAGATACTGTTGGATTAGTCGAAATCCAATTGGAAAAATACAAATGATTCTAATGGATAAGTTGAAATCCCATTGGAAAACATAATGGTGGTGGTGCATAAACATAGGAATAGTTTAAAATATAGCTTTCTTTTTTTTATTGAATTTTCGGTTACTTTTTAGTAAGTTTTTACACTTGTGAAGTGTGGGGAATGATCAATTGTGTAAATTTGAAAATTTCAGCTGTGCGATTTGGAAGAATGCCAAAAGCCGAGAGGGAGAAATTAATGGCGGACAAAGAAGAGTTGTCTACCTCTAATTCTGCCAGAATTCTTGAACTTCGGACATTATCCGACTGTATAAAAGGCGCATTTCAAGACTCGTTTGTGAATTGTAAATTTGTCTCGTCCTACCTCTATTGTCAGTCAAAAAAAGATTCTGACCCAATAAAGGTAGTTGATAAAGTTACTTAATATTTCATAATATGAATAATACATCCGCCATAAGTGTTCATGTTACTTGACCCATATTCGTCACCTACAAAAAGTAAAAAAAAATCCGTCAGAAAGACCGAGATGCGTTCATTATATAACTGTCCTGCCGAGATATATTAAAATGAATTTTAGAAACAAAAAATTGGTTTTCCGGAACTTTTTTTTTGCTTCAGATGTATGGGAAAAGTCCTTAAAATTGTATGGTGTTAATTATATATTAAGGTTTCTTGCATGTTAGAAATTCAAAAAAAAAAGAAAATAATATCCAATGGTTATCTGTATGTGAAAGCAGTTATCCTATGTAAAAACATTTATCCATTAGAGAATCGGTTTATTTCCATATGATAGTAAACAAAAGCATGGAATTATCATTATTGGCAAAGCATTTAGTGTTTATAGCAAAGCAGGATGGGGGTTGCACGCTTTGCAATAGATATTGCAAGATGTTACATTTTTAAAAATCGAATTTTGTTTCCAATTATTATTAAATTATTATGTATTAACATGGACTACTTCTTCTCGCGTAGATTGAACCTGATCAGCGGTTTTGTGCAGAATCAATGGACGCTCATCAGTTTGTAGAAGAAAACATATTTTCAGCATTCCAATCAACTATCATTCCGGTGATTGAAGGGACGGTGAAGTTTACGAAAAAGATCCCGAAATTTTCAAGTCTGGAAATGGTCGACCGAATCGCACTGTTAAAACAAAACTGCTACAGTGTTTCTCTTATTCTAGTAAGTTTCTCAGTAAATGAGGATGTATTCCTTTGAGATCTGTTTTATGATTAGGCTTTTTTCGTTCTATTTCATTTTATGATAATATATTTTGTTGAAAGAGGAAATATCATTCCCTTCATATGATTACCGTATTGACTAATCATTTTATTACAATTTATTAATTAGTATATTAAATATGTACAGCCCTTTTATACTGTTTTATATTAATTTTACTTTTTCACTTAATATTATAAATACAATATTCCAATCTGAAAGTTGCCATCCGATTATCAATACAGAAGACTGGAAAATTGCACCCCCCCCCCCCAAACATTGCAGGTCATGTTAATTTCCATATAAAATGTAATAATAACATGTTTTGCCATATTTTTGTAGTGTTATATGTTGTTTGAAGGCAACTCAATATGCCTCGAAGCCGCTTTAAAACGCATATCGTTTTCGTCTACCAATGGCCACTATGTATGCTTCGAAGCTGAATGCATGTTCGAGGGAATATTTTATGTGGCGAGGAAAGTGGGGAAGTTGCAGCTTACTCATGTTGAAATTGCTCTCTACTGCGCAATAGCTTTACTCATAGGTAAATAACTTACTGTGTGTTTAATCTCTAGTCATATTGCGTCTTTATTCTTCAGACTTATCTTTATTTTTTAACCATTCAAATACCTCAAACAAACACGTCCATTTTTCAATATGGACAAAAGCGGTCATCATTTTAAGGGGAAATTTAAATATGATCTGACTAAATATGGAACTGTGCATACTATGATAGGGCTGTGCCGGCTGAACTTGGTCAGCAGACCCAACACTGGCCACATGAATAGATTCAGTTGCCCCTATTAAAGTAAAAACTGTCGATGGTTTATTCTTTAGTTTAGTATTTTTTCTCAACAATTTACCTTATTCTTATTCGTCGTGAAGTTAAAATGGCGTCTGAATTGCAAAAAATGCCAATCTCTCGGCATGCTATTGTAAACCAATTTTTACTCAATTGATTCTATGTCTTTTGTTAATAAAGAAAATTCTCAAAGTGGTAATTGTAAGTTTTTGACTAAAGTGTGTCATTATTTAACATACTAAGTATAAAATACATGTTTCTATTTTTAGAAGCACCCGGTGTCACGGACAGCAATGCCATTGAATCCATCCAGCTAGAATTGGTTGAATCTTTGAGGCTTGAGCTTAAACATAACCACCCTAAAGATAAATATCTTCTGCCTCAACTCCTACTTATGATTCCACAACTTATACAAATCACAGAGGAGCTAAAAACGCGGTTAAAAGGACATCTTTTTGATGAGACCGAAAACTTCTCCAAGACCAATGAGCTCCTGTGTGAAATATTTGACCTTCATTGAAAAAAGACTCGTGCGTATTTAAATATTTAGAAACAAAATAATGCGTCCGGTGATGTAGACTTAGAAAACTCGTTGTGTTGTGATATTTTCTTCAAGCGCTTAATGACCTAGATTTGAATATTCACGTTTGATGGATCAGGAACTCGGGATTTTCAAGAATGACGTGGCGCGCTTGTTTAAATTCATCAACTTAATAAATGTACCTTGTCAATTTTATGTTTTAAATATCGGTCTCATTAAATCAGGTGGTAAACAGTAATTTGGGTTAAAATTCAAATTAATTTTTATGCATATGTAGTATGCGTTTTAAAATTGGCGACGCAAAAGGCATGGTCGACTGTTTGTAGTAAATATATATATAATTTTTATCTGGTGATATATTGAAATTCTATTGGTCAAATCTGGTATTAAATAAAGTGTACAAAATATTTTATAATCATTCGGATTTAAAAAAAAAAAAAAGAACGGCCGATCTGGCGAAATTCATAAACAGTAAAATCAGACTTTGTTACGTCACATAACCGATACCGAGTTCCTGAGACTATAGTATAATGTAAGTTCTTAAAGCAAGTGATATAGATAACAAAATGCTGTTGATATTTTTATATATTTAAGATATTCATCTGAATACAAGCAATGTCAGAATGGGTGAAAGTGTGTATGTGAATGAGTGATGTTCTTGTCTTTCTTTTCAATTTTATTTAACATTTTTGTATGTTCTAAATATGTTTTACATAGTTTACTAGATACGTGTACTCTTAAAAAGGGACTATAGAAAAAGCATTTGTCATTTGTGAGATTTGTAAAAGCTGCATGTCTCCAGGTAAACCACCAATTAAAAAATAAATAAGTATTTAAAGATTTTGAGAAAAGTACAAATATTTGCAATTCAAGTAATGATTAACATGTTACATGTAATGACTGGCTGATTTTGCACTATTTATATGCATGTTTCTAATGCACGACAAACCACAAACGCAGTTAAGGCTTTTTTGTGTGCAAATTTTGACTTTTAAATCGTTATTTACGAGAATTTAAAGTGCCGTAAGTAACTTTCTTTGTTCACTTGATACTAGTAAACTTTGGATAAACTTTTACTTTTTAGAATAATTTGTATTCATTTTTTTTTTTTTTTTTTTTTTTTTGCAAATTAGCATGGATCTGTAGACATGCTGCTTTTATAAATCATGTTGAATAAAGCAGTAAGGTATCGTTTAAAGCGAGATTCCATTAAGTATATGATTTTTTTTAATTTAGAAAATTATGTCTGAAGAGACCTCAATTTTTTAATTATGAATTCGTGAAGTCGACTCATCCAGCTTTTTGACTTTAGAATAGTAAATTGCGAAATTTTGAGGGATTTTCAAGACTTAAAGGACAAATTTCCAGCAGGCAAAAACAGACTGTATGGATATACGTACTGGCCTCCCTCTATATAAACTGCTAGGATAGAAAAATATTTTTCGCTGCTGAAACTCCAATGGTTAAATGAATTCATTAGCATTGATGCGTTTTATCTCTTAACTTGCTGATTTTCTTAAAAATACTTTTCCAACTTGCATTTGTTAACTGGCATATTAAGATGTAAAATTAGTCCGTCAGTAAACAGTATACGTTGTAGAGCCTGGTCAAACGTCACCGGTGTAGAGGCTGGCAGGCTGTGTACTTGTGGCTTACCTCTATTGGGTTCAGCAGATTATGGGTTAAAACATTATTTATGTTTAAAATTGTACAAACTAATATGGGCATTTTATGGTAGTTGTGTAGCTTTTTTATCGATTTGTTCTTACATTATTATATGTTGTTAGGCTGAACTTAGGATTCACATATTTCAAGGTGAACAGAAAATTCTGCACTGACCATTAGTATTAAATGAAATACCTACTAATATATATGTATTATGTTACTCAGCAAATGTTCATAGCTGTGCTCCCAAAGAGTCAAAATGAAATGAAAATATGTAAAAGTGCATTGAATGATGCAAGTCAGAAAATATTAGTAATTAAGCATTATAAATTCTGTAAAATTAACTGAGATGGAAAATTTTAAAACATTTTGTGCCAAAAAAAAATAATTTTTAATCTAAGTAGTTTCTGTTAATTTCAAAAATGAAATGTGAAAAATATGTAAATCTGCACTGAAAACGTTGATATGTTTAAAACAAAATAAACACTGATAAATTTCAATCTTTTTGGGATAAGTATGTAAGGTTTTGGTCAAATTGCAGTATGCAATGAAAAAGTCGAATGTGGAAGATGGTTAAATGTGCACATAATCAAATTTGGGAAAATGGTTAAATGTGCACAGAAATAGTCAAATTTGGGAAAATGGTAAAATTTACATAGAAATAGTCAAATTTGGGAAAATGCTTGAATGTTTATCGTCATAAATGGTGGGAAATGCAAGTGATAATTTGGTGGGCATATCTGATTTCATTTAATATTTTTAAACCCTTTTGATTTTAATCAAATTTACGACAAAAATTTGTCCCTGTACATTCGCATACTAACTTATAAGATCCGCATACTAACAATTCTATTTCGGAACAAAATCCATACTTAATATTTAGTATGAAATAACAAATATATCATAGCTTGTACAATATGTAAGTTAGTTGATAAGTTTAAAGGATTTAATGTGCTTAAAGATCGTTATGAAACATGGCATACGACTTGTGAAAAATTAAAATATTATGTTTTAGGCTTATAAACCTGAGTGGAGTTCCTTTAACGATAGCTTCCGATCCTTGTAATTAAAGTCCGTGATACAGCAAAGTGAACTATTCTAAGTGCAGTCCAATAGTAATAAAATTATGCGCATTTTATTAATCATCGAATATGTTATGAGATGTTATTTAATCTCGCTCTTACTTATAAATCAACTCATTTGCGTTTATTAATTAACTATAATAAAAAATAGTCAAGGGAGAAAATTTGTCATTTGCGAACAATTCATACTTTGTAAATACTTCAATCGTTTATCTACCTCACCCATTGCTTTCTAGAGATCATTCCTTAACACAAATTTTACGTTCATTATTACTAGAATTTTTTAATTATTTTTAGAGAAATTATTTGTAATTTTAGAGAGATTGGCATGTATTTTAGAGAGAAATTATTTGTATTTTGAGAGAGATTGTCGTGTGTTTTTACAGAGATTACATAACTAGCACACGTTTATTGACTGTTTGCGTTTATAAGCAGACAGATTGCTGTTGAATACTTTCATTTTGCTCTGAGAGTTGCCGTTCCTAATCTATAACAATTTAACCGGAAGCGGAAGAACATTGATTTGATAATAACCCATGTGATTTTCTCCTTAGGCTGTGTTGTAATATATTTTATTTTCATTCTTTCGAATGTACGTAACCCGGTGTCGTTTAAAATCATTGCTAATTTGTGAATATTGCATAGGAAATTGCATATAGTTTGCAGTTAAAGAGAAATGCAGCACGTGAACTTTAAACGTGCTATTTTGTTTACTTATTGTGCCATAACGATAATTTTCACTTTTTGTATTTTCTGATCGCAAGATCAGTAAATACATAGCTAACATCCACGGTCTTACACAAATTTTCCTAACAGACCTAACAACGCAAAGTAGTTCTCACTCAGAACTGCTTAAAAACCAGCAATTTAAAATAAAGAATAATTTTTAATGTATGCATTTAACGAATTACAGTGCATTAAAAGTTTAATGTAGTCAATAAAAATATGAGGTTACAATCACAAATCGCGGATGAATATCTTTTTTACCCAATGAAAAATGTTCGGCTATTTCCGTAAAGCTTAATCAATGAAAATGCTATTTTTAGCTATGTTTTTAACTGTGTTTTATCATAATTTTTAGCAGGGTGGGTGATCACGTGACATTTGTTATCCGTAAGGAAAAGTCACGTGATCACCTGACCTGGATCCGTATTGATTTATTTTCAAAATGATGAACATTTGTTTTTCGTATGAAAATCTAATCATTTATTTATGCCAATATTTCTTTGTAATTTAGGCGATTTCTTATAGATGCATCTTTCAAAATAACACTTCTTATAGTAACTGACACTGTCATTTTAAGGGAATCCATTTTATATGCTTAGTCATTATAGCTAGTATATAATATAGAAATTTTAAAAATTTTAATTTATCACTCAAAGCATACGGGTTATATATATATAAAATACTCCGCTTTTAGCATTTTTACTCTGTTTCCGTACTGCAGATTCATTTATATGCAATGTATCCTTTAATCCCTGTGGGATAATAATAGGAGCATTGTGTAAAATAAATGTATGTTTATCGGTGCAATTCTTTCTGTGCAAACGACTTTACTGCTGTTCTCTTGATATTTCCATAACGTTTGTTGTATTGCGTCTTTAAATGTTCACGGTGCACTGAACGCTTTCATGTTCGTCTTACCAAACGACTGCCTAAAATTTGTGCGGTATCTATTAATTTAAGAGGGTTTTGTTGAAACATCGCTTGTTGCAAAAATACAGAGGTGTTGTAAACGTGAACGCGTGCTATGGAAACTAATACAAATGAAATAATTTTTGTAAGCATTTTTAGAATTTTGTTAATTGCATTTCATTGCAAGAAAAACTACGCATTGTCGGATTTGTGTCATCAGGGTGGTTGATCACGTGACATTTATTACGTTTTCAGTTTATAGCCACGTGATCAGCCACCCTATGATATTACTGAGCTATTGCTTGAAGAATGATTTTGAAGGTCAAGGACGATCATTCTTTTACTTATAGAAATGTTCTTTATTCAATTTTTGAAATTTGCTCATCCAATTAGATTCTTACTGGTTTAAAAATGTCTGTCAATATTTCATAATTGTATATGTTTTCATTATATTTTGTTTATGTACGAATATAATTATATATGTTGTGAAATTGTGTTACTGGTAAAAAGCATCATGCCTCCAGACTTATGCTTATTTTGATTAATATTTTAAAAATGTATTTAAAAGTAAAATATTGTGAAATGGGCAAAGAATGCAACTTACAAATTGCAAACTGACTCTTACAATCCACATATATAACCAAAAAAGAGGTCAAAATATACTGATAAAAAGCTCTTACTGCGTGAGTAACGCAATAAAAAGTATGGATTAATACTGCAAAAACAGTTATTAATCTCACATAACAGTCATGAACATTATTAAATCTTAGTACCTTTAAAATCTAAGTACCTTTTGTCAAGTTCGATTTTTTTAGCTCACCTGTCACAAAGTGACAGGGTGAGCTTTTGTGATCGCTTTTCGTCCGGCGTCCGTCCGGCGTCCGTCCGTCCGTAAACTTTTACTTTAAATGACATCTCCTCATAAACCACTAAGCCAATTTCATCCAAACTTCACAGGAATGTTCCTTTGGTGGTCACCTTTAAAAATTGTTCAAAGAATTTAATTCCATGTAGAACTCTGGTTGCCATGGCAACCGAAAGAAAAACTTTAAATATCTTCTTTTAAAAAACCATAAGAGCTAGAGCTTAGATATTTGGCATGAAACATCTTCTAGTGAATGTCTACCAAGTTTGTTCAAATAAAAGCCCTGGGGGTCAAAATGGCCCCGCCCCGGGGGGTCATTGAAAAAATCCACTTTTAAAGAACCCAAAGAGCTAGAGCTAAGATATTTAGCATGAAACATGTTCTAATGGGTGTCTACAAAGTTTGTTCAAATAAAAGCCCTGGGGTCAAAATTGGCCCCGCCCCGGGGGTCATTGATTTTCCCTATATGCATATAGTAAAAACTTAAAAAATCTTCTTTTAAAGAACTCAAAGGGCTATGGCTAAGATATTTAGCATTTAACATGTTCTAATAGGTGTCTACCTAGTTTGTTCAAATAAAAGCCCTGGGGTCAAAATTGGCACTGCCCCGGGGGTCATTGATTTTCCTTATATGTGTATAGCAAAAACTTAAAAAATCTTCTTTGAAAAAACCCAAATAGCTAGAGTTAAGATATTTAGCATGAAACATCTTCTAGTGAGTGTCTACAAAGTTTGTTCAAATAAAAGACCTGGGGTCAAAATTGGCCCCGCCCCGGGGGTCATTGATTTTCTTTATATGTGTATAGCAAAAACT